AACGACAGTTACGGCCCGTACGACTGATTCCATCAAAATTATTGTCTATCTTTCGCTTCCGTGGGATAAACATTTGAATGGAGGAGGCGTTGCACAGTACGTGGGAAGCACTTTCATACAATCTCAACCATATATTATACTTTCCCGATTGTTCGTTTGCTCAGTTTTCAAAATTTTAATCGAGAACTGCGTGAACATATTTTTCAAGTGTTTTCATTGTATCCCAATTACATGGATTGATGCTCATGTCCGATTGGGAATTTCTTTACCGGAGCCTTGGCAAAAACTATTCAAATACATGGATAAAATGCCCTTTTCACAAATATGTAAAAGGCAGAAATGATGCCATGCAAACCTATTCATCAACTTGTAGCGATAATCATGGCAGATTTGTTGTTATGCTTAGTCGTCATAAAATATATCATGTGGCAAACCACGGGTCCATGGGTACCCAACCCGGGTACCCGAGTTACCCATCCCAATCGTTAAACCAATTCACTCACTCCATCCTAGAAACAGTTTTCAAGAACATTTTAAGTCATTTCATAGAAGACCATTTTATTATTCAGACATAGATGCTCTGTTGTAGCATCACATCTTGATATGAAATTAATATTGTGTGTTATGAGTATGAGATATTGAGATACTACAACAGGTGTTTATAATATGTTCAGCTCATCGCTCAACACACTTCATGTGTCTGGTGTGCTTTTAGTATAATACACTGCCCTTTCGTCTATAGTATTAAAGGTGTCTGGCTATCTCATAGTGACCTAGAGAGGTACAACTTTCAAATGAGGCCTTCTTAGACATTTTATATTTGAATTTTAAGACCTAGGTTTTGCTGTTCAATTGCTTAAACAGCCATTTAATATGCATCTAATATTGATTTTTGACAGGTTAGCATTGTAACCCACTGAGCCACTGGGGCAGGTGATGGAAGGGTGTTCAGTCTCATATGTCATGACTTCATTTGTATGCATGTTGCACATGGTCTCTCTCTCTTTCATGGTCTACTGTCTTCGAATTTGTTTAATAAGGTATGCCATTGTTTTTTTTCTTTCTGGTATTATATGAATTTAGATGGTTCATAATTACTTAAAACCCTTCTCCTCGAGGTTTTGCATTATCAACCAAAATGTCGGAGTTGTGTTTTAACTTTTTTGCATTTTTGCAAGGTCTGACATATAGACCATGTAGATGTTACGGCCATAAAATTTTCGAGTCCCTTGATGGGATTCGAACCACGGACCTTCTGATCCGAGGTCGGACACCTTGTCCACATGACCTAAGAGGTTAACACCGTCAGCAAGCTGACAAGGTAAGGATGTCATCTGTGGGATGACGCCACGCCCTGCTACATAGACATGAAGCGGTTTTATATATAAAGATTACTACACTAGTGTCTGTCAGAAACCATTTATCTTAAAATGATTTATTTGAAAAGGCATCTAACGAGCGAATGTGAGCTTTGAAACAAGTTTTGATATACATTGTATCTAACAGGCATGAGTGCAGTACACACCGTTTCTTACACACCCTAAGATAGCGCCATTTTAGCATCGATTCAATGCATATTTTGTCTATTCTCATCATTATCTCATGGCGGATTAATACATAACAACGGTCATTTGTGACGTCATCCGACCTACTGCTTACTACACATACCTAGTGTGACCCTACACAATAAAAGTGTCCACCATATCTGTGTATCATCAAGGTGATAATACAAACATTTATTAACACTCTAAATCTGTAAAGTTTCTTCACAGACGAAGGTGAATTTGACCAAAGCACAACTTGTCAATGAATTACAGTCAGGAAAAGTAGTCCGTCATAATTTGACCTCAGGTCCTCACCATGGAGTAGCCAATCACGGCCCTGGAATTCATATGTTTCATACCGGTTCTGAAATGGGTTTCTCACGTTTGCTATTTTTATATATACTGAACCAAATTAAAAACTTCACTATCCTAAAATTTCAACATTTTGACCAGTTATCATTGTGGGCCCTTATTGTGTATTTAAACAGTAATGGCCACGTATTGTCTTCAGATAACACCCGTTTTTGTGCAGGTGAATCGATCAAAATCATGTGCACAGCACTATAGTGGCAAAAGTGCTTTTTCACGTGCAACTAGTCACGTGGCCATAATACCGCACGTGTTTTCAGCCATACTTGTTAGCAGTCATTAAAAAAAAAAACACACAAAAAAAAGTCTTTACGGCCATTTGTCATGCCACGCCTTTCAAATGTGCAACGTGAACGTGCCATCAGCATGTTGCAGACGGGAACGTCCATAGCTGAAGTCGCAAAGACGATGGGTTGTAGTCGACGGACTGTTTATGTTTTACAGACGCGTCTACACCAAACGGGTACCACCGCTGATCGCCCTCAGCCAGGTTGACCACATGCAGAGGATCGTCAGATTGTCTTACGTCACCTCCGTAAACGTTTTTGATGGCTACATCAACCAGAAATGAACTGTTTAGGGGTAGACTGAGTGCGCAAATTGTTTGAAACCGTCTGAGAACTGCTCACCTTCAAGCACGACGGCCATACAGCGGGCCGATTCTGACTCAATTACACAGACGTCAACGTCAATTGTGGGCATAGCGACACTTACGATTGACTCAGAGGAATTGGAATCAAGTCGTCTTCAGTGATGAATCCCGATTTAATCTTCGATTTGCTGATGGTAGGGCGAGGGTGTGGAGGCGCCGTCATGAACGTTACGCCCAGTGTTGTGTACAGGAAGTTGACAGATTTCGAGGCGGAAGTGTCATGATGTGGGGTGCTTTCTGTGGCAATGCACGTTCCAGGCTTCTTGTCATCCGTGGCAACATCAACGCTGCTGCTTACCGGGACCATGTACTGGCACCAGAACTTCTGCCTTTTATGGCAGCACATGGACCCGGTTTGATCTTCCAACGCGACAATGCCAGACCCCACACAGCAATTTTGACAAGGAATTTCCTTCAGAATGCAGGAGTCAACGTCATGGACTGGCTGTCAAGGTCTCCCGACCTCAATCCCATCGAACATGTCTGGGATGCCCTTGGCGGATCTTGGCACCATTTTGCAGCAACAATGGCGTCGTCTTCCCAATCATGTGTTCACAAGCATCACAAGGTCCTTGCAGAGGCGTTGTGTGGCAGTTGTCAACGCACATGGTGGTCATACATGCTACTGAACTTGTGTGCCATCAGATTCTTGTGCTTGGGACTTATGATTTAAACTGTTGATAATATTACAGAATACCGTAGGTGCTTGGAACAAATTATGGTTACCACCGTTAATTAAAATCCTTCTTTGGACATGAATGATTAGAAATTACCTTCTCTGATACATCTGTCCATTGTATATCATATATGGGATTACTTTTAAAAATGTGAAGTTTTTAATTTGACTCAGTTTACTTTGATTTAGAGCTCACATTTCCGTAGTAACCGATTGCACTGAGTCTCCAATGATGGTAGCTGACAACTTAATTAACTAAAATATGTACATACAAATTTACTGCTTGTCTGTACTGGTTTTCCATGGTTGAGTTTGTAATAATTCTCTTGCTCAAGTGTGACATGCCATGCATAGTTTTATAAGAATGATTTCACATGTCAAATTATTTCCACAGGAAACAGCCAGTGTTTTGATGCGAGACGAGTCAGCTGGTAGCTGCATATTACAAAGCTGCAGTAACTTTGCTTAACAATAAACAATTTATGCTTTAAATAAAGAAAACAGGATTATTCACATGTTTAGATTACCTCAATCTCATTAAAATCAGATACGCTGAGGATATCTCATTACAGGTCACGTCAGAAGACCCGTCTGCGAACTATGACCGACGAACTTTGGTACTTTATTTCGTTTATCCAACATACTCGTTAATCCGATATAATCATATGCAACCAGCCATGTCGGATTAAGGGGACTGTATTGGTTGAACTGTGTCATGCCTCAAATTACAAATATTTACTCACTGTCCAAAGAAATGCGAATACCATACATGTTGGTTAATATATGACTCATAATTAAGAGATATTAGATTGGTTGGCTGCACACACGAACATACTGGTATGTTGTGTGAACTGGTGCTCATGAACGCATCATGTGAAGTCATGGATCCATGACTCGATTTGCACCATGTGTCTCGTGCAGGATTAGCGTGAAACCTTTGGAAATCACATGCATATCGTGATAAGAATACAGACACTGTGGCAACACTTGACTGATTGTTAGTTTTGTCATTAATTGGTACACGTTGAAAACATCTCTTTTTAACGTAGATACTTCTCTATATGATTCTATGGTTTGCGGTTCTTTTAACGGTCACTGTTCAAACCTCTTGATAAAAATTTTCAGCACCAAAGAACAGAATGCCATGTTGTCCCAATCTAATTAAAATCAGAACTTAGTTTTCGCTACCGCTAAACAAGGATCTGGGGATATCCCATTACGGGTCATGTCAGAACGACCTCTCGCGAACTTTGACCGATCAATGAAATGACTGACAAGAAATCGACATTAGCCTATCAGTAGGCAGCTTTCTCAAGCTTTACGACACTATAATACACACTCGTCTGTTATATGCACCCTTAATTATAGGCAATAAAATCCTGTAAAAATATATCTGTCATATATAAACATTTCAGGCTGTCAGCATGAACCACAACATTTTCGATCTTTCAACTCACCTTTTTTCACCAAAATAATATTCTAATAAGAGCCCCCTATTTCTAATTTTGAGAGCGCCCTGGTTGCTTATTACGTCGAATACGGTAATCTTTTTCTACCTGCCTCTAAAAGCTTCATGTGTTAGTGTTTTAGAATGTTTTTGAGAGTGTTATTGACAACAGCAGGACATGATGTCCATGATCAATGCTGCACTGTCCATGATAATAACTAATGAATAGGCATATATTGGTAGTGTAATATGAAACTGTCTGTCATGTCTATGCATGTTTGTATTCATGCAGGTACTCAGTGGCTGGTGGGACGAGGATTAGAAGTGGGATGCTGACTTTGTGAATCAGCAAGATGTCACGGAAACTATGGAATGGAAGCACCGGGAACAGGTTATCTGGGATGGGATATTCTGCTTTGAAGACTGCTGCAAGTGAATATGACGAAGGTAAGAAATATGTTGTGTATTTTTTGTACAGTTGATTTACTGGTTTAAAATTATTCATGAAGTCACCACTCATTTAGCTTGGGAAGCCTTGTGTGTGAAACTGATGGACAGGTAAGGATGCTATTTGAAACCGTTGGTATTTTATTAGTAACCTGTCATTTTAATAAGTAGATTGAGATGTGGGGATGAGGCCTGGGGGTTAGGGATAAGGCCCGGTGGGGTAGGAATGAGGCCTGGGGGTTGGGGCTAGGGGATGAGGCCTGGAGGTTGGGACTAGGGGATGAGGCCTGGAGGTTGGGACTAGGGGATGAGGCCTGGGGGTTGGGGCTAGGGGATGAGGCCTGGGGGTGGAAATGAAGCCTGGTGGTTGGCTTGGTGATGAGGCCTGGGGGTTGGGACTAGGGGATGAGGCCTGAGGGTTGGGGATGAGGCCTGGAGGTTGGGGCTAGAGGGTGAGGCCTGAATGTTTGGTGGGACTAAGGGATGAGGCCTGGGCACCTTGGGGTTGGGGGTTGGGGATGAGGTCTGGAGGTCGGGGAAGAGGCCTGGGGGTTGAGGATGAGGCCTGGGGATTGGGGCTAGGGGATGAGGCCTGGAAAGAAATACCGGAATAAATAAGAACACATCAACATACCTTATAGTGAAGCAATACAGTGTATCGTGGTATAAAAGGAATTTGCTCTAAGCGTGTGAGAGAAAAGCCATGTGCAACATGGACTAGCTGGAGTCATGACATGATGATCTGAACAACTTCTCATCACCTGCCCCAGTAGCTCAGTGGGAAAACAGTGGGTTACAAAACTTAACACGATATGTGAGGTTGCAGGTTGGATTTACGTCATGGAGGTTTCTTGTTAAAAAAAGTATGACTTTTAACCAATCATCAAACACAATTGTGTTCACATCAAGAGTCAAGTTAATGAAACATTAATTGTAAAACCTTGGTATTACAATTGAAATGTATTCATCAGGTCCTGGGCATTCCACCCGAACACCTGAGGCATTGTTTATATTGCCTGCCTTGTAAGTAACATTTAGCCTTTCAACATTTAGAAGAACCTTTTGTTACTGTAGTGTGTTGTCATCAGAGGTTTATACCGTATTCGACGTAATTAGCGCCCCGCTCTAATCACTGCTAATAAAAGCAATCCTAATCAGCATGGTCAGCACCCCTTCCGATTGATCAATGTACACAAGACTCATTTATTCGCATATTATACGCACTCGTGTGTTATATGCACCCTTAATTATGGGCAATTAAATTCTGGAAAAATATATCTGTCGAATACAAACATTTCAGGCTGTCAGCATAAACCACGAAATTTACAATCTTTCAACTGTTTTTTTTTCACCAACATAATATTCCAATAAGCAGGATAAGAGCCCTCTATTTCTAACTTTGAGAGCGCCCAGGGTGCTTATTACATCGAATGCGGGAAGTCCAGAAAAACAACCGAGCAACAACTGTTTCCTATAACATGGGAATGAAAGCTGCGCACATGTTATGAGGAATTCAGCAGAAAATTGACATAAATTTCAAAAATAATATGTTAAACTTTATGTTATATTTGTATTATATGATATGTCAGTCAGAAAATGGGAAATATGCACATTGTATCAGGAATTTATCGGAATATTAATGTACAGTATTTATAAAAAAAGAAAATAATAAGCATGTTCAATGTTTTTCAAGTACATTTTCAGTGCAAACACTGGTGTCTGCAATTTGAGACACTTGGTAAAACATGTATGTCCAAAGCCTGTGTCAAGTAAAATTTGTATGATCTAGTCTTGTAAGATCTGCTTGTACTGGCCCATATACGAGGGGTGTTCATTAAAGATTTCCCCTAAACCACTTAGGGTTAGCATAAATTTCACATGTGTAATGATACATGTATCTATGGGTTATGTCTGCAGCACCGAACTATTAATCTTACCACTTTTACAGGTGTTATGATCGAGTAGGGTGGGACAATGCAGCCAGTAGAATACCGAGCAGTGATTAGGTTTTTATATTTGAAAGGTTGCACACCAAAAGAAACTTTCGATGAAATGAAAGCAACTTATGGGGAAGATGCCCCATCATATGACGTTGTTAAACACTGGCATCACCAGTTCAAGTGTGGTCAGACATCTGTGGAAACAGCTGCCATTCCTGGTCGCCCCCATTCAGCCATTGATGAGGACACTATCCATCAAGTGGAGGCCGCCATTTTGGCAAACCGACGTATAACTGTTCGCCAGTTAGCACAAGATGTCAAGATAGGGTCTGTAGGGTCTGTGGAAAAAATCATCCATGACAATTTGAACATGCATAAGGTGTCTGCATTGTGGATTCCCAGGCTGCTCACACCTTTCCAAAAGCAGGAACGAGTCAATTGCTCAAAGGATCTTTTGGACATGTGCCAAAAAAACAGGCAAACTATTTTGACAGACTTATCACACAGGATGAAACATGGGTCCATCACTATGATCCTGAGACTAAAGTTCAGTCGATGCAATGGAAGCATGTGGAGTCACCTGCCCAAAAAGAAGGCACGTGTCCAAATCTGTGCAGGCAAGGTCATGCTCACGGTGTTTTGGGACCAGCACGGAGTAGTGATGATGGATTTCTTGGCAAAGGGTACCACAATTACAGGAGCTTATTATGCTTCACTGCTGCGGAAATTGCGGGACGCTATCAAGCTTAAGAGGCGTGGGATGCTGACCAAGGGTGTCCGTCTCCTGCAAGACAATGCTCCAGTGATCTGTTACCAGATAGTTTACCTGAGAGTTATATGAGAGTATAGCGACCCTAGGACGCCATTGACGGATACTGCCCATTGTGTTGATACACTGATCACTTCCAGCAAGTGATCTGTTACCAGATAGTTTACCAGATGTTTCTACTACCTGTATGTATCAATATAAGTTGTAGCGTGAAGGGTACATGGGTTTTATGTGTTCAGTGTTAGGTTTTATACCACGAGCCGGAGATAAAAGAATTAACACAAATTCAAAATTGATAGAAAACAGCTGTTCGATTGAACTGAGGTTAACTTGTGCTATGTCACGTGACTTCCATTGACTCAGAAAAAGCGGGCAGCTTTTCACTTTGAAGCTGGGTTTAGAGGATTTATCCTGTCGGTCAGAAATGCACGTGCAGCCTGTAGTGCTCTAGGCGGGGTATAAGAGATTTTATTCCCCTGCTGAGAAATTTATTACCCTCCAAGGCGGGTTACATGGTATTTTATCAAGATCACGTGGACCAATCAGATCTCATCATTCTGACATGGAGGTATGGTAATATAAGTTGTAGCAGGATCACGAGGGGTACGTGGAGAATTATGAGTCCCGCATTAGGTTTTATACTATGAGCCGGAGGTGAGTGGTATAAAACCAAGCGAGGTACACAAAAATAAAACATTGACCCTGACTGATCCTGTTACAACAAATTTATCTTACCAACATGTTTTAACGTGGCATTGTAAAAGAATTAACATAAATTCAAAATTGATAGAAAACAGCTGTTCCCTTGAGCTGAGGTTAAACTTGTACTATGTCACGTGACTTCCATTGCCTTGGAAAAAGCGTGCAGCTTTTCGCTTTGAAGCGAGGTATAAGGGATTTATTCTGTCTCTCAGAAATCCACATGCAGCCCAATTTGCTCGTGGTGGGGTAAAAGAGATTTATTCCCACGCTGATTCATTGATTCCCCTCCTAGGAGGGTTACACAGTATTTTATCAAGGTCACATGAACCAATCAGATCTCATCATTCTGACATAGAGTTATGATAATGGTATTTATCAGAATAGAATGGACATATGGTACACTGAATACTGGAGGATTATGTCAGTCAGTCTATGACATGATTTTGTTCATTTTGTGGAATGCATAGAGTGTAGGGCTGGGACGAGTCCAAATTTACTAACCGGGTACCCCCCCCCTATTACCCGACCCTACCCAGGTACTGAAAAACTATTGGACCTACTCCAGTCAAAGTTGGTATGAGATTATTAAACAGTCATACATAACTGGATATTACATTTAAAGACGATCGATGCATGAATAAAAAATCTGTCTATTTAGCTATCACTATATTTCATCAACAACCAGACCTGTTTGTCACGGGTGGAACGAGCATTCATTGTAACAGCCATCTGCATAATGCTACCCCTGCGTCACAGGGCCATATGACACAGTTGAACCAATCAACTCAACTCGAAAGGGTGCACGGGAATCATGCACGAATACGGTGTTAGAGTTGGGCGTCTCAACGTGCGTGATTCCAATGATTTAAACATCGAGTTAAACAAACAAATATAACAGGAATATGATTGGCATGTTTGAGCGAGTGAGTGAGTGAGTGATTTTACGCCGCTTTTAGCAATATTCCAGCAATATCATGGCGGGGGACACCAGAAATGGGCTTCACACATTGTTCCCACGTCGGGAATCGGGACGAGCGAATGTTCAACCACTTATCTACCCGACCGCCCCTTAGCATGTTTGATAGTATCCAGTTACCTTTGTTTTCAAGGATGACTTAACAGGTTATTTGATGTGTTAGGATGAATATCAAGTTAGCAGTTAGTGATACCGTATTCGACATAATAAGCGCCCACGGCGATATTTGCTAATATATTGCCTGGTGAACAATCACAATTTGCACCCCTTCCGATTGATCAATGTGCATAAGACTTATTTATTCGTGTATAATACACACTCGTGTGTTATATGTACCCTTAATTACTGGCAATTAAATTCTGGAAAAATATGTTTGTCGTGTGTAAAACGCATAGACTTTTCTTTTATATCATTCAGGCTGTCTGCATAATCAACGAAATTTATGATCTTTTAACTACGTTTTTTTTCCACCAAAATTATATTCTAATAAGAACCCCCTATTCCTAATTTTAAGAGCACCCTGTGCGCTTATTACGTCGAATATGGTAATCTTTTTGACAGAGACTGTAATGTCTCAGATTCGCACATGGCACTGATCATGGTAACTACAATG